TTGTCAGTCGCTAAAACACATTTCTTTTGGTTTTCTTTTCATAGCCTGGAGGGACGGTTTGAAGATGAGGAGTTACAGCAGATTCTTGATGATATCCAGACCAAGCGCAGCTTTCAATATTAATCTCCTAACATTACTCTGCTGCTAAGAGAACCGCATCTCCAGCAGAGCACTACTGTTCCCCAGGATCTGGGGCTGACTTGAACAGAAATTCTGTTGCAGAAGACAGTTGGTCTTTTGGATACAACAGCCTAGCTTGGTCTTGGTTTAGGTTACTGTTTCAAACTTAACTGTTGGACCATGATGACCCTGTAATTTTGGAGAGGGCTCATAGGGGCCGCCTGTTGCTTCCTGGCTTGCCTTTAGAAGAGTGAGGTGGGTTGATGTCCATGTAAGCTACGCCGTTGACTACCTCATACTATGGTTCAAAAATACTTTAACAGCTAAACATTCTAGCTTTGATTTTTCTGAAAGGAAGTATGCCTGTTTTTTCCACAATTTGAGGATTTTTCTTTGGAGTACTTATTGGCTGCAAATGAATTCATGATCCAAGGAAAAGTTTGAGGAAAGAACAAAGTTGGCTTTAAAGGTCAAGATAGTTTTATATCAGCTGCTGACTAAGGCAAAAATAAAATATTCTTGTCTTTATAAATTCTTTCAGTTTCTCATATGACATGGTTTCTCAGTCACCAATATTCTTGATCAGTATTTAAAGGAGATGATAATTATTCCTCAGTTTTAAAAATTGAAGGAAATAATCTTTTCATCCTTGGGCAACTTCACTTTAAGACTCATCAGTGTTCTCAGTTGGGAAATGTGAATGATAATAGTATCTATTCCATAGGTATTTTGAGAAAATCTTATGAGAAAATGATTAAAAACAGCCTATTGGTGTCTGGCATACATTATGTCCCAATAAATGTTAGATATTATTATTAGGCTCAGTAGATGAGCAAGTATACATAGGTGATAAATCAGCTTGCTTCATAGAAATTAGTGCAAGAATTTGGTAGCATATCAACTGATATTGGTATGAGACAAAACAAAAATTGCTTACTCCTTAAGTCTGCAGAATTCTTTTAAGAAAAGTAGTTACATGTGCAGGTTGGCACCAAGCAGTAGAATAGAATAGACGTGGAAGACAGACCTGAGTTATAATCCAGGTGTGTGTGCTATCTTGCAAGAGCAGCAGTGCAGTGCCACCATCTTCACTGGTGTGCCCACCTGTACATGCCAGGAGTCTGAGCTATATGAGAGTGTGGAAGTATGTAAAGAACCTGGCATACAATTAGGCACAGATAAATGGTAGTAAGATGATTAGAAGCAGATTTTTTAAAATAACTCATACTAGGGAATTACTTGTAAAAGCAACCTCATGCTCTGTTCTGGATTCAAAGCCTAGTGAACACATTCTGCTGGATAGCAGCTCACTGTTTAATCATCAGGAGACCCTGCAAAATCTTTAATCATCTGTGAAATATTGTTTGGCTCATTTCACTTTGCATGGCACTTAATAGGTACTTATTAGTAAATGAATTAAAACACATTTTCAGAAGGGTCAATGTGGAGCTGCAGGGAAAGCAAGAATACCTGAAATAATAAAATTGGAGGAGAGGGTTGAGGTGGTAGAGAAACAGCTCAGAAGACACCAAGGAATTTGGAAAAGACAAGGCAAAGCTGTCCAACAGAACTTTCTGCAAGGAAGAAATAATCTATATCTGGACTGTCCAATATGGTAGCTGCTAGCCACATATAGGTATCGAGCACTTGAGGCTAGTATGACAGAGGAACTAAATTTAAAATTTTATTTTTAATTAGTCAGATATACCTAGTAACTACTATATTGGACAGCACATCTATTAGTTCCCAAGACAAATGTCCTGCAGACCATTGAAATCTAAAAGGATTTCAGCAAGATTAACAACATTCACAAAAGCAGCAGTAATAATAGGGGACCATTAATCCAAATTTGGTCCCCAAATTTCTGAAGTCTGAAGTATATCATTTTCTATACATCATTGAGTCTAATTTTTCTAATATAAGTTCTATTTTTAAAAATCTGCCTCTTCTCTGCTGATGCTCATAGACAAAATTATGAAACCTGTTTTAAGAAAACATCTGGAAATAGCAAAAAGGTAAATACTTCATCTTTTGATAAGAACCTTGCTTAATTTTGCCTTTTCTGTAGGCTGGTAACTTTTATGTTGAATGTAAAAACCCAAAGATTTATCATCTTTTAAGGCTTCAGTATTCATATTTTGTTATTCTAATAAATGTGGTCCAGGCACAGGATATTACCAGATTAATGGACTGATGTCCTTTTAAATTCAGACTAGCCTCTATCTCCTGAGCCATATCAACACCAGCCTGTGGCCACACATCCTAAATATATTGTCTTTGTTAATAGAGAACTTAATAGTTCTCCATCTTCAAAGCAACCGAAGTTGTGAGATATTTGCAAAACAATATTTTCTAAATAGTGATGGAAGAAATAAAAAAAGATGGAAAGACTCTATTATGTAAAAATTAACTGTAGAATCACTAAAAGCAATCAACAGCCTGATAGAATTTATAGCAGAGAGCACAGGCAATAGGTGTAAATGTTTATTATATAAAGAACTTTCAAAAATATTAAGACCCCAATTTAAAAACTGTCAAAGGATACAGACATAAATTACATCCGGTTTCCAAGTTAATGGGTAAAAGTTGACCATAGTTTTCAAAGTTAATGGGTAAAAGTTGACCATAGTTTTCAAAGATTTCAAGTGAGGTGATATTTTTCTTATAAAAATTGTACAAAAAATGAGCGTGTTGCCATTTAATGAGCAATTTCTTTGTGTCAGGTGCTGTTCTGTACACATGAGGATACAGAAACAAGTCAGGATGTGAGCTGTCAAGAGTCCACCTTTCACTGAGAGGACAGCCCTTCAAGTTCCTGGCTTTATTTAGGGGCTAAGCCTCAGTGGGGCAAATAAAACATACTTCTTGTTTACCATGTTAACTGTTTCTTTTTCCAGTCTTCCACTGGAGTTGAGCAAGTATTGCCTTTGTCTTCCTTGTACTGTTTTAGAAGTGATACCTTCTATATGTTTTTAGAAGTTACCCTTAAATTTGAACACTCAATTGTCTCAATGAAGTCTTACCCTCTTAGGTAATACAAAGGACCATGGGATGCTTTAATTTTAATCAAATGTCATTCCCCCAAATCTCCCCGCCTTTCTTGCTATTTTTATCCAGGACTTTAGTTCAATTACCCGCAACAAACACATACACACGTTAGTTGTTTTATAGTCAATGCATAGATTTACCCACATTTTTACCAACTTATTTGCTCAATGTTGCTGTCTGCACCCCTCCTTCCTCCTGGATTCAGTTTTCTTTTTCACAAAGATCTTCCTTTGGTAGTTTTTTTAATCGGGTGTAAAGGGAAACATTCTTAGCCTTTCTTTGGCCAAATATGTGTTTCACCCTCATTTTGAATAGTAATTGCAGAATTCCATATTCTACATAGGTGTTAACTTCCTAGAGTACTTTGAAAATACTATTATTCCATTGCCTTGTGACCTTTATTATTGCTGGTAAGAATTCTGACAGTCTTAATCCTGTTCCTTTGTAAATAATCTGTTGTTTCTAATTGTTTTTATGATTTTCTTGTTTTTTGTGTTTTACAATTTCACTACAAGGTGGTGAGTGATGGATTCATTTTTATTTGGGGGGAAATTTGTGCTACTTCTGTATGTGAATTCATGTCTATGATTTGGGACAGTTCTTAGTCATTGTCACTTTACTGCCGTTTCTTTGCCATTGTTGCTCTTCTTTATTGACTTTCATTAGATCTATAATTGACTTTCTTATTCTCTCTATATCTTCAGCTTCTCATATTTTTCATCTCTTTATCTCTCAATGCTATATTTCGAATGAGTTTCTCAAATCTATTTAATCACTAATTTCCTCTTCAGCTATGCCTAATCTGCTCTTTAATGTGTCCAGAGTTTTTTCACAGCTTTATTGGGATATAATTTACATACCAAAAGTTTACTCATTTAAAGTGTACAAATTAATGGTCTTTAGTGTGTTTGCTAAATACACCATCACAACAATTTAAGTTTAGAATGTTTCATCACTCCAAAAGGAAACCTCACACCTGTTAACAGTCACTTCCCATCCCGTTTCCCTTGTTTCCATACCCCAGCCCTATCCAGTGAGTACTCCCGACCAATAACTACAGTTTTCTATTTCATGATTTTCAATTCAGTGTTTTCCAAATTAACCTTTTTTTTTTTCCAGTATCATCATGGTTTCTTTTATAATTTTAAATATTTTTTATATTCTTTTTCATACTGGTTATCTCAACTTTTTGGTGTATGTTCTTCATTGGCTTTGTAATTATTTTGATCTTTCACAGAAATTGCTTTTACTGTGGAAATGTGCCTGCATTGTAGAATTATTTCTACAGAGAGGTTTGCATTTCTCCCAAATCTGTAGTGTCAATGGCCTGGGCCTATTTCTTATTATAATTGGTCAGCTTAGGGATTCCTACACTATATGAGCAGTGTGAATTTTAATGCAAACCCACGCATGGCACAGGTTTCAGATTTGATTTCTCAGAGGAGGTTTTTTTTTTTTTTTTAACTCAGAGCCATGGATAGTGACAAGCGTCCTTGTCTTCCTGGGCCTGTGAGCAGAGCCCACCTTTCACTGAGGGGACAGCCCTTCAAGTTCCTGGCTTTACTTAGGGGCTAATCACTAATTTCCTGTGTTCTCAGCCCTTGAACCCAACCTGGAGGATAAATCAAAATGCTTGCCAGACAGACCTGATATTACTACCTCTCGGACTCTAATCAAGGTTGCTGTGGCATCACTTTGAACTTGACCACTGTGGCTTTCAGTTCTCAATCTGTTTCTTGCCCCTGGAAGAAACAAATTTCCCTTGGTCTCCTGAAAGTTCAATTATACATTAGCTCTTTTTTGTTTTGGTGGTAGTGGGGTTCCCCTCCAGGCATATTGTCCAGGTTCTTGATGTCTCAAACAAAGAATTGAGCAAGACACTGAAATACAGCAGAAAAGAAAAGCTTTATTAGAAGCGATAGTACACTTGTAGATGTGGAAGCTGTCCTGAACAAGAGAAGATTGGCTCAAAGGCCTGGTAACAAAGCCTTTGGAGTTTTTATCCCTACTTGCTGTGGGTGGTTACTTTTCTTAGAGAAGTGGGCTTCCTTGGTTGACGACTAAGATTGACAGGACTCGGTGATTCATCATTTGCTTTCTGTGCATATTCATTCCCAGAATTAAGTCTTATAATTATGTTAATGAACTTCTGGGTATGTGCTTCATATTATAATGCTGATAAACTAAAGGTCATTGGGGTCCTTATTGCGCAGGTGTGTGTGACTGGCTGAAACTAGTACCCAATTTTCTGCTCACTTGTTTCTATGAGTTAACTTTTAGCCCCAAAATGCCTTCTATCTTGCTTAATTATGGGCAACCCCTTCTAGAATAGGATGACCTCAATGTATTTGCAGGTGGACTTGAAACCCCTTAACTAACTTTCCTGCCTCTTTTCTAAGAGCCATAAACCCCCTTATTAGTATGGATGTTGAGGGACGGGAGGTCTCTTCTGTATCTGTTTCCTGCTGTGGAGGGTCGTAGTCCCTGTCTCTTCCCTTTCTGCCTTAGTCAGGATGGGGTCTTGGGTTTCCTGCCGAAGTGCTGCCTCAGTCTCTAGATAAGGAAAGGAAGATATGAACTTGTTATTTAAATCATATATATTCTTTATTGATTTGCCTATTAAGCGAGTAAAGGAAAACAGGCTTGGTTAATATATTTCTTGAAGAATAAAAAGACCTTTGGGCTAAAAGTCCCCTCCCCTCTCAGACTCTAAGGGCCCTGACTGGCCTATAGCCATTTCTGCTAACAATGGACCAGTGATCCTTATCAGTAGCCAGAGGACTTGAAACACCAGTTTCAGGTAAATTAAGGGGATTTGAGGGAGGGCCTTTTCTCAAAGAAAGGAAGAAAGAAAGGACTCAACCAGGTTTACTAAAAAGATTAAGAACTCTGCAAGTGATGTCCTATTTCATTTCCTGCTAAAAGATAAGAATTTTACAAGTGATGTTCCATATTGGTGGTGGCGGTGATGGTGGTAATGGTGGTAACAGGCATATTCTATCAATACAGTATTTCTAGGTTTTTGTGTCTTAAGGGGCTTCATCTGCAATGATGCTCCAGACAGCACGCTGGCATGTGAATACATACATAGTGAAATAATTTCATATCCCATCTATCCCACAGTTCTGCCACAATGAACTTCTTGAAGTTCCTGAAACCAACCAGTGCTGCCTGTCTTGAGCAGAACATGCTGCTCTCCCTGTTTAGAATGTCCTTCCCTCTTCTCTACTTGATAGATGCTTTCTAGTCCTTTGAGACTCTGCTTAGTCTTTCCTCTGTCTAAAGTTTAAACTTCCTGCAGATTTATTTCCTTATGCTCTCCACTTGTATCTCAGCTACATTCCACATGGCATTCACTAGTTGGATAAATATATACTGAATGCCTAATAGCTCTCTAAAACACTGTCCCAGGCTCCAAGGATACAGGGATGAGCAAGGCCAACAAGATCCTTTCTGGAGTTTACAGTCTAGTAAGGGGAGATAATAAAGTAAACAAGATAATTTCCAGTAAGTGATGACTGCATGAAGAAAGGTAATAAAAAAATATTGACCAAAAGAACTACTTCAGCTTGGCTGCTCTGAGGAGATCTGAATGATGAATGAGCAACAGCCCTGTGAAGTCTGGGGTTGAACCCGCAGGGCAGAGAATGTGAAGTGTAATTAAAGAGTTTGGGAGAAACAGAAAGGGAAAGTGGGCCCGGAGGTCTCCACTAAGCGGAGAGGTGGGCTAGGAGCAAAGACAGTGTTTTAGTAAGAAAGAAGGCAGAGAATTTGAACACAGGGCATGCATGTAGCCTAGTAGATTAGGTCCTGCAAAGACAGGCGTCACTTGTCTTTAACTATAGATAGCCCTTGTGTCTAGTGGGCCTAACTGTCCTTTATCCGCAGAGCATACGCTCATTTTATCAAATATCTGTGTCACCAAGCTTTAGTATGGAACATTTCATAATCTTGACAGTGCTGTCGTAATAAACATGTTGTTACCGGAAAATGCAGTTTGAGATTAGAGAAGGTATGAAATAGTCATTTTGGAGAATGGGAGGTTGAATGAACATGGGACATGTAGTCAGATTGTCTGGAGAGGCCTGAGGCTATCTATATGAGTCTATTAAGGTGCTAGAAACCCAACAAAAGTACAGAAAGGAGGACTTATTGAAAGGGCAATGTATTCATTGAAAGAAAATTGAATTTCCAAACTTTGGGAAGGGCAGGCATGCAGGAATAATTGGAACCAGGCACTCAAATGCCATGTGTCTTTTCTTAGTCTCCACTTGTCTCTATACTAACTCATTACTGTCTACCTTCTTCCATAGAGCAATGAATAGGCTTCTGACTGCTCCTAGGTTTCTTGACATCCTGCCACCTGAGGGACTGGTGCAGGTTCTCTTTGGACCCAGATTCTGAAATTCCAGAGAAGTACTTTGAATAGTCTGGTTTGTGTCAGAAACCCGCTGTTCTGCAGGTTCAGGGTACCGAAGCTTCCAGCTGCACACTTCTGGCAGCTGGAAGAATATGCGATGAGCCGTCAGCAGATGCAACATAGCTTTATCCAGGCATAGCAAGACACAGCAAGGCACAGGCACAGCTCCAGCTCCCCACGGCCTGCACAAGTGGGGCTGTTCTTATAACAAGGTTCACAATAGTGGCTTAAGGCCAAGTACTACAATCATTCACAATCTACAGGTTGTATAGGATGCTGTATCTAAGGTCACCTGGGATGCTGTAGCTAAGGCAGCCCAGAAAACACACAGCTTGCTGGGAGGGAACCTGACTGCATTGATTTTGTCAGTCCCCTCACCCAACACTCCACCCCTTCAGGGTTCCTCCTTTACC